ACATTTCATTTCTCGTTATATATCTAATTATCTTTATGATTTAACATTTCATTTTTCGTTATATATTAATTATCTTTATAAATAAATATATTATATTATCAGGAATTTGGTTTTATCTCTCTAGAGAACCCTGTCTAACACACTGCTCCTCCCTGGGCTGGCTGGGGACTGGTAGTATTCTATTTCAAACACACTGTGCCTGAGGGAAAAGCATTTTACTTTGCTAGCCAATGGTCAGAAAGAACTCAAGGAAGCCTGCATCTACGTGGAGACTCCAAAAAATATTTAGGGGTCCCACCTGGAGGCAAATATATAAGAAGCATTTTTTTCACTTCTTTGGCCACCTTACCCCTTAAATCCTAAGGCATACAAGTGTGGCATCTAATTGATGGTTTTAGGAAATAGTAGGAATACGACATTCTCAAAAGGCACCAGTCCTCAATCAGAGCCAAACTGAATCCCCCCCTGCCCCACCCCTACCTCTAAAAGTATGTGCTACAGAGGACAGCACTAAACCTGCAGGTTGGGGAGAGGCTGGCTTGCCATGCCCACACAGAAGCAAAACAAAAAGGAAAAAGAGAGAGAGAGGGACCAGACCCATACTGACACACCAAGCCCTGAGGATGGTGTCCTCGTGGAGCTGCGAAGGCACAGAGAGGACTGTAGGGCCAACAACAGCCCAAGACATGATGTCCCCTCACTGGAGCATACCATGACAGAGGACAATATGGGGGATTGAGACAGGGAGTGAGTCCAGTCTGACCAACCCCACAGTGGGGCGAACCAAGAAGGGCATAACAGATCAGCAATGGAAGCAAAGCTAAGCCACAAAACCTCTGAGGATCCAAAAAAATAGACTTCAGGCTAGGAGGGGAAGTTCCCAGAACCCCCCAGGAACAGGGGGAGAGAGTCATAAAGGTCAGCAAACAGATCTGGAATTATGTATGCTCTTTCGTTTGTTTTTTTGCTAGTTTTTCTTTTCTTTTTTTCTTTTCTCTTTTTAGTCGATCTTTTGTTTTGTTTTTGTTTTGTTTCCATTATTGTTGTTTTGCCTACCTATACACAGAAAGCATGGGAAGCAAGCCTGAGGAGAAAGCAATGGGACCAATGGGACCAGAGGGACTTGGGGCGGGGTAGGAGCTGGAGGAAAGGAGCAGTGAGCAAGCAGCGCCATAGACAGGGGAACCACTAGGGAAATAAAATCGACAATGTATTAGTCTAGGTACTTTGGAGAAAGAAATCCACAGCGACTCATGTATAAGAGAGTTTTATGTAAAGAAAATGTGCATCACGAAAACATCCCAACCCAATGCTGCCCAAGCCCA